AATCTCCTTCTGCTAAAGGAAAAAAAAATCCTCCAGAGAGCAGGTGTTAGCTCACCACAGGTCCTGGTTTGGTCAGTTAATTCTGTCACGGTGTAGGAGGTGGAGACGGCGGACCATGTGTGGTTGAGCTGAGCAGGAGGTAAAAATGCTGGCTTCGGATAAAGTAAAAATGATTTAATGGCAGGATGGGATGAACAGAAACACCAGCAGACAACAACAATGAACTGACAAAGGACAGGGGCAAAACAGGTGGTTTAAATACAGAGGGCTAATTAGGGAAACATGGGCAGGTAAACGAGGGACAGGTGAGAACAATAAGGGTAATCATCATGGCAGGAGAGGAACAGAGTCAGGCGGGCAGGGGCAGATCGTGACAGCAACAAGGGGAGTGATGTGAGTTTACACAGCTTTCCCACTGGCAAGAAGAGGAGAAAGCAGTGGGAAGATGCCTGTGGATGGACACAACTTCCCAAAGATGTTTATGTTTATGTATTTAGCAGACACTTTTGTCCAAAGCGACTTACAAGTGATAATCTGCATGTTGCCCTTGAGGCTAACAACTACAATGACAACAACAACTTGACATCATGGAGAGGAGGGAACAAGGAGTGGACGGTAGAGAGGGGGGACGGGTGAAGGGAGGGTGCTAGTTAAGAAGATGCTCTCTGAAGAGCAGGGTCTTCAGGAGTTTCTTGAAAATTGAAAAGGAAGCCCCTGTTCTGGTAGTGCTTGGAAGGTCATTCCACATTTGTGGAACGATGCATGAGAAGAGTCTGGAGTGTCCTGAGCATGGTGTAGGCACTGCTAGCCGACGATCCTGTGATGACCGGAGTGGCCGGGCCGAGATGTAAGCCGTTGCAAGAGGATTCGGGTAGATAGGAGCCGTACCATCTCGGACTTTGTATGCTAGTGTTAGCAAATTGAATTTGATGCGTGCTGCTAGCGGTAGCCAGTGGAGCTCAATGAACAGAGGGGTGACGTGTGCTCTTTTTGGCTGATTGAAGACCAGACGCGCCGCTGCATTCTGGACCATTTGAAGAGGTCTCACAGTACAGGCTGGAAGACCAGTTAGAAGGGCAGTGCAGTAATCAAGGCGGGAGATGACAGTAGATTGCACCAAGAGCTGGGTGGCATGTTGTGTTAGGTATGGTCTGATCTTTCGTATGTTATACAGCGCAAAGCGGCATGAACGAGCAACAGAGGCAACATGATCTTTAAAGGTCAGGTGTTCATCAATCACAACATCCTTTGAAGGAGCCAGAGATAGGAAGTCGTTTTAGATTGAGATATTGTGCTGTATGGATGGTTTTGCTGGGATGACAAGTAGTTCAGTTTTAGAGAGGTTGAGTTGGAGATGGTGGGATTTCATCCATTTTGATATGTCAGAGTTTGATATTCGGGCAGAGACAGCGTGGTCATCCGGTGGAAATGACAGATAGAGCTGGGTGTCGTCTGCATAGCAGTGGTAGGAGAAGCCATGTGATCGAATGATCTCACCCAGTGAGGTGGTGTATATGGCAAAGAGAAGAGGTCCTAGTACAGAGCCCTGGGGGACTCCTGTGGCAAGATGGTGCACGGTAGAGGATTGTCCAAGCCAAGATACACTGAATGATCATCCTGTGAGGAACAATTCAAACCAGGCGTGTGCTTTCTCTGTGATGCCCATGCTAGAGAGTGTGGACAAAAGTAAGCCATGGTTGTCAGTGTCAAATGCAGCCAATAAGTCGAGCAGGATAAGCACTCAGGATTTAGCAGTCGCTCTAGCTTCTTTTAAGGATTCCGTCACTGCTAACAGAGCAGATCCGCAGCTGTGTTCCCAACATTTTTCTCCTGATGCCACATTGTGTTGATTTTGGATGTAATTCCCAATCAAAGGGCAACAAGGGGAGTGATATGAGTTTACACAGCTTTCCCACTGGCAAGAAGAGGAGAAAGCAGTGGGAAGATGCCTGTGGACGGACACAACTTCCCAAAGATCCAAAGCTGTGTTCCCAACATTTTTTCCTGATGCGTTTGAGGCTAATAGTCGACCACAACCACTTAAAGAGCTCACCAGAGCGGCTGGGTGTAAGAGAAGGTTTAAACTAAATGCTTTACCGACCATTTTCCCACACAAGGAGCTTAAACGCCCTTGGAGAGACAAGAGACGCTGGACGCTCTCCTGAGCCGACAACCCGCGCCTGCAGCTGCCGCTTCTGTCACATTCAGCAAACCATCGGACACGCCACTCGTCACGGATGAAGCTGAACATTCACCTCTCCTGTCAGTAAAACAAGCAGTAAGTGTAGCAACACAGTGTTCTCCAAATATATAATATCTGCAAAAAAATTAGTCGTTTTACTGAATATCCTAATCCTCTATAAAGCACACGACAGCTCTGGATGCTAATATTGTCCAAAATCATTCATAATTGAATACGTTTGATCACACGATAGTTTACCGTTAACTTCTGCTGACAAAAATGTGAGCACTCTCCCTCTTGGTTACCATGGAGACGTATTTGCCACACACACACCACCAGTTTTGTCCTGCACTCGCTTCATCCCGCCCTTCTTGCTCTTCATTTTGATGCTCGTTTTGTGAAACATGGTCAGTGATGTCATCATTAATGTTTCACTCTGGTTCAAATTGAAAAGGCTGAACAGATGACATGCTGATGTCGCTGAACTACAGGGTCCCATAGCCAGCCGGTGCAACTGAGGTACAACCATATGATGTCACTACCCAGAGTGCATTGCGACGCTAACAACAATGGCGACCTACGAGTTAAACAATTTTTACAAAATTTATAAAAATGAAGACATTAAGAAAGTTTTTTACACCATTTTTATATAACCAACACCAGGGCCAGATTAACACTTTGTTGTACCCTGGTCAACAACATTAAAGGGCCCCATCATCACGACCCAAGAATCGCCATAATGTGGTCATATACAGAATATTTTACCATAATATGCAGTAAATATACTCAATACTTGAATGCCTGGCGTCACGTAACCCACTCAGGGTAACCTTTGACCTACCTCGTGTGAACTGACCAATGAGGAGAGGGTCTTAACGTGAGGCCCTCTCTTCATTGGTCAGTCTGCATGAGACTGACTCTCAACTGACGTTCAAAGTCATAGGCAGCAAAGCGTCTCTGTGCAGCGCAAATGCCCAGGTGGACAGTTTGTTGAATATAGGGTGACCCTATTTCCATTTCCAAAAAAGAGGACAGGGGATCTGTGCCTATGACGTCACACTATGGCAACGCCACACAAGCCACGTTGGAACCCATTTGTTTGTAAGGATTAAAATTAATATCAGATTCTGCCAATAAAAGGGCTCTAAAACAATTC